GAGGATCCTGGGAGGGGAGGGAGGAAGCTGACCAGGAAGTTATCAGTATGAGACCAGGGGCACAGAACCTTGGTGAGTCTCCCTTCCAGTGGCATATCCCAAAGCATTCCCTACAAAACACCAATTCCCTACAGAACTTCCCCATGATGAACACAAATTTCCTGCAGGGAATATATAAAAAAAAAGAGAGAGAGAGAGAGAAAGCAAGAAACAGCTCCTTTTAATTCTTTTGCTTCTACAGGAAGCTTGTAAATGCTAAGGTCTTACTTCAGAGAAAAAAAAAACATTATTCACTAAGCACCTTAGTGCAGGCAAATTCTGTTCCCCTTGTATGGTAGGTGGTTGGTAAACCAGTCAATTTCTTCTCTCTAGTCTCTACCACAATCTGGCATGTGTGAGGGCCAATTCATTCTTGTGAATCTATTTCAGTGTGGATTTCACATGTTGTAAGGTGTCTTAGAGGCAGAAATACCCAGTCATATGGGAAACCTTGCCATTGCCCCTTAGGTCAACATTCAGTCTTTATTCTGCTTTACCTGAACAGGACAGCCATGGTGTACCCTGCGACACAACTCTGCCCACCTCCCTCCCAGCCCTGGGAAATCCAGAACATCCTCTTATGAGCAGAAACATGAGAATTACTCCCCTATGCCCCTGAGACTGTCATCTGGGAAAGGAAAAGAAAAGGGTGTAGAGTGCCCTGGGATTGTAAGCTAGAAAGTTGTATACCGATTAACACCTAAGGGGTTTGAATCAAAACCTGTGGTGTAATGTAGAACTGACTTTAGACTTTTCAGGGTACAAGGCCAGGGCCAGGGGCCAGGAGGCCTCCCCAGGCCTTGCCTGAAAATGGGGGACAAGCAGATAGATGTGGTAGCACCCAGAGGCTGCTGCATCATCATTTACCAGTCCTGACAGTTGGTGAATGCACTGGTCCTTTCTTCACAGAATGGTCAGGGAGAAAGGAAGGTGAAATGTAACTGATATCATTTGTACCTGTAGGCAGCATGGGCTCAGCTCCTGGTTTTTCTTAAATTCAGACTGTGCAAGGAAAGTTAAGTCCCTCAGATTTCATCTCTGACTTATACCAGATCCTTGTGTATAAATTGGGCAAAACTCACTCCTGCTTCTCTGTAACCTCAAAGGTATGGTCTCACCAGTGAATGAAAGCGGTCTTTATGATTTCCCATGAGACATTACCATCAGTTCTCCTAGCCAAGAAGACCTCCTTGAAGGGGACATGCACCCCACCCTGTCCCCTGCCCTGCTCTCTGCATGGATGGGTGGTATTGGACAGGCCTTACCAGACCTGACCTGGAGAGATATGTTTCCTTCACTGTTCCAATCTCTCTCCTCAGGCCTGTTCATTTCCCACCTGGGTTTGCATCAGACCCTACAGGGTGAATTGGGAAAAGAGTGCTGGTTTTCAGTAAACTTCCCAGCAACCGGTAGGATCTCAGCATTCAGAAAAAAGCCACACATGGCTGGACATTGGGAGAGGCAGGAAGAAGTTGTCCAGGAGCACTGTGAAAGCCAGGCCAAGGGCAGTGGCCACCCTATTGAATCCTTCACCCTATGAATCCTCCCACAAAGAGGGAGGATTCATTCGAGGTGCATAGAAATGGCTGAGGTCTGAATGCTACATTTTATTGATTGCCCCAGATATAGTTCCACATAGCAGCCCTTCACCCTCACCCTCTAACCTCTTCTCGCTAAGATGCTATAGAATATTGTTTGTGCTTCAGGTACACAAGTAAATAAAAAGCAGGACAGATGGATTTTTTTAAATCCCCTTTCTCCCATCTAAGGAAACCCCTTAGGTCCTCTGTACCTGAGGAGATGTCTGGGAGACCTCTTCATGCCACAGTTCAGAAGTGTCACATTCCTTTTCCAATTTTGCATAGTATTACATGTACAGAGGAACCACAGCTGATTTACTGTCTCCAATGACCTCACACTTACTTGGGTCATTTACACTGTTTGCTGTAGTGGTGGCTTCAAGTGCTGCTCCGGAAGCTGTAGTAGATGGGGGCCTCAGGACCTCCCACCGAGGTCCTGACCTGGAGGGAGGGATGGAAGTTTCTGATGCCCAGCAGGCAGCTCTTCTGGGTTGATACGAAGACGCAGAGCGCGTGGATCAGCAGGATCCAGCCAGTGTTCCTGGGCTGAAGAGGGTTGGGGTAGAGGTGGCTGCCCCCAGGCCCTAGGGTGCTGGGACAGCAACTGCTGGGGTACCCTCCCTGGCTCCAATGCAGGTGGAGGCTGCCAGCACCCCCATCGCAGCCATGCACCAGAGGGAGGGTGCTGTCCCCACCCTTGCAGGGCCCAGTCCCCATGGGTCATGAGTGGTCTTGGATGCCCCAGATAAGTCCTTGGGCCACCAGCTTCCTGCTGTGGGAAGGGCTGTTGGGGAGCAGGAAGTAGACCACCCAGAGGTGCAAAACTGAAGCCTGAAGACAGAGAGCAATGGACATCTCCAGAAGCTTTCCCCAGTGCCCTGGCTGGAGTCTCCAGGTCAGGAGAGGCCATATTCACACCCAAGACACCAGAATTCCCTGAGAGGACTGCTTGATGAGAACCTCCCAACTCCCAGAAGAATGGGCTGGTGTAACTCTGGAGAGTTGTGCTGAAGTTATTTCTGGGGAGAAGGCTGTAGTGCCTAGAGCAGTTGGGGGTACAGAATCCATCCTGACGAGATCCTGAAACTGGAGTGTCTGCCTCCCCACTGGGCCTCCTTTCAGTTTCCTTTAGTATTCTAGCTCTCTGGTTCTGAAACCAGACCTGGAGATAGAGAAAGACAAAGGAAGAGAGAAAAGATATTTTCTACATAATTTAAGCCCAGTACCAAAATTATCACCAAGTAGCATGTGACCTGAGGTTAAACAGTTGTCAAATAAAACTTCTACTAAAGCTAAAACTAAAAACAAAATCCTTGGCTCATTCAAAACATTCACAGTATGGCCTAACCTACTTTCTGGGCAAATCTTCCTAAAGCACCCACCTCGTACCCACATGGGCACACACCAGCACTGTCCCCTCACCCTCTGCCCTTGCAATAGCCTTCCGCCTCAAGACTAGCTACTAAATATGCTTCCCAAACCAATACCTAGGACACCTTTCTGGCTGGTCCTACTGGTTGGTAACACCAGTGTCCCCAGCATGCCCCAGCATACCTGAAGCCCACCACAGCCTCCCTCAGGGCAAACCTAGATCTGTGGCTTCCAGCCCCACCTGCAGGACCCAGCAGCCAGTAGGGTATTGGATGCTGGCTAGTAACCAGAGTCAGTCCCACTTTCCTCCCTAAGGGCATTTGCAAAAGCTAATTTGACCTTCCAGCAACAAACTTTCCCATATCCTCTGGGCCTAGCAGCTTCTGCCTCCCTGGTGACTCCCAGCCAGCCAGTGGACTTTAGGGTTTCCCATCTTGATTCTGGGAGCTGTGAGCTCTAACCATGCATGGTTTACTGAATGTTCAAGGTCAACTCTTTTGTCTGGTCTTTTAGTAGTTAACTATCTCTGAGGGTTGTGAAGTCCTGACAGACTGCCTACCCCTCCATCAGAGTCAAGTTCCCTGGCCAGCTGGTAAGATCCCAGGGTAGGCTTCCAATTCTGACTCAAATGTCAAGGGCTTAGGGCTATAGCTAAGCTTTTCAGTATCTCAGTTCATTCTGAAAAGTTTGGAAAGGTGCAGGGTTGCTCTGTAGGAAAAATATAGAAATTCATTTGAAAAATTCAGTTGAGGTTACCAACACTTCCAAAAAGAGGACGCCACAAAGTCCTTACCACCAGATTTTTCTGCATGTACTGGGTGCTGCTGAACCCCCTTCTCCCTTCTGGGCTGTGGTTTGCTTAATTATTTCTAGGGTTACAAAAATCTTTGTAAAGTAAAATTCTTAACAGAGCACTTGGTACATAGCAAAAACCTCAGTGGATGTTCATTCCCACTCCAGCAGCCTGACCTCTTCCATGACCTTCATCAAGCATCTTGAAGGGGGCTGAATAGGAAATGGTGAACCCTTTTGCAGGACCCTAAGACTTCAGGTACGATGCTACACTGGAGAAACTTCCTGGCCTAGCTAGAACCCCAGACATATAAGACCATAAAGTTCTCTGTGTGGTGACAACAACATTCAGTTCAGGCCAAGGACATGTGTAGGACAGGAGGTCAGCATGAGGTAGCCACCTGGAGGTTTAAAAACTTCTACAACCCTGTCCACCTCCCAGAGTTCTGAATCAAAAGTTTTGGTATAGGATCCTGATAGTTCTGGTTCGAAAAGCACTACCGACCGAGATTTCAACCCTAGCCGCACATCAGAATCACCTGGAGGCCTTTTCAAGCAACATATGAATATTCCAGGCTCCACATTTCATTCTGGGCTGGGGATCTCAAACTCATCTCAGCAGGCTTCCTGTAGGCAGGAGCCACTCCCCTTCCTCCACCCATTGCAGTGGGTCCTGTGCTAGGGGGTTGAGACACAGAGGACCAAATCATCATCTAGGGATCCCTTCTGGGGGTCCCTGTCAGGTTAAAACCATTCTCTTCACAAAATAACACTCAGATGTGATCTGCCTTTGCCCTTTTCCCTCCCAGAGGCTGGAAAGCAAAGGCCACAGGTGGAAGGCAAAGCAGCTCTGACATTACAGTCTCCTGTGCTGGTGTTCTACTGCCATTCCTCTCACTAAATAAACTTTCTGGCTGTAAGAATATGAGTGCCTTCCTTAAGAAACAGGTCAACATGTAATGTTTTATTATGGTTATATTTAAATTAGTGAATATTTCAAAACTTCTCAGTTTCAACTTCAAACATGGTAAATATTTGACAAGTATAACCCTCATAACCCAGTTAAACTCCACCCCTGCCAGAGCTATAATCTAAATGACCAAATCTCTCTGATCTTCATCTTCCCACCCCCCTGAGACTGAGATTAATACCTCACAGGGGCATTGAGAGGATTGATTCAAACCTTTTTTTTTTTTAAAGCTTGTGGTTTAAACAGGCTCACAATCCTTGCTGGTTCCTCATGCCATCTCTCCCTCCTGAGGGAAGAAGCACAAATTTATACTTCACCTGGATTCTTGGCTCAGGAATCTGGATTTGTCTAGCTAGTTCCTCTCGGACAGTGATATCAGGGTATGGGTCCATTTCAAAGACCTCCATGAGAACCTTGTGTTGGTTTTTGTTGAACTTGGTCCTCTTGCGCCTCTTGCTTTCTGGGGGCCCTGGGGCAGACACACACACAGCATAAGAGACATTAGTCTCAGGCCTTACATTTAGGTCTACTGAAAGTTGTTCCCTGTGCATGGCGATGTGGAGCCTGCAGCCTCCCATGGGAAAGAATCTGTTTGCAGGCAGAGACTCCCTTGGGCACCTTTGCAGAGCTCTCTCTCCACCCTCCTGAGATTCTGCTGCTGGAACCTAGTGCTCTGCAGAACCAGCTTCCAACTTCTCATCTTCCAACAATTCTTGGGGGAGGGGGAGTTGCCATATAAACTAGAATTACAACTGAAGCACATGTCCAGAGAGTGCTATGGGCACAGTCAGGTCTGCCAAGACTCCATCAACATATCTCTAGTTGTGCTAGGACCCAAAGTCCACCAGAAACTAGATGCCAAAAACCAGAACATAAGAAAATTCCATGCAAAAAAAATCCTAACATTGGAGAATTTCTATACATTAATACATATTTTCCCTTGTGAGCTGGGGAAGCTTCCTAGCCATCAATTCAGCTTTAGGATCTTTGAGTCCATCAGAGGTGGGCTCATCACTGACTTGTTCATTCAGTTGAAAACTGAATTCCTCAATGGAGAAAAAAAGGGCAAAATACAAGGCCCACATGATGCCGAGTTTCCTTTCCCTCCCAGCCCTCCTCCGAGCTCCCAGAGGCTGCCTTACCCTGCAGAAGTAAATTTTCTACACTTTGGAAAAACAATGCAGCACCTACCTGGGCACCTACTGCCACCCTGAGCACCTCAAAGGCAACATTTTAAGGTCTAGTTTGGTGCTTAGCCTCTCCCCTTTCTAGTGTAAAAGCCAAATGTCACAGTGAACAGTAAACTTCAAACCACACCTGGTGGGACCTGCCCTTCTGAACCCACAAGACATCGTCCTAGAGAGACTGCACAGCTCCCTGGCCACCCAAGCCCCAGCGGCACCCTCAAGAGCTCACCATAGGAAGACATGTCCGGACTGCGCCCACCAACCAGTGGGAACCTGGTTGGGAACAGAGACCTGGGTGAGCACTGCCTGTCTCCTCGCTGGAGTCTGGTAGGGAAGTGCAGGGAGCCGTCCAGTTAAGCCCCTTTAAAGCACTTTGTAAGACCCAACCTAACAATAATCCGTCCTCTGGACCCGGTGCTGTGGTGCGCAGAAATGCTCTTCTGCTCTCTCTGGCCTTGCCCAGCTGGAAAGGTGAGCGCACTTCCGTATAGCCTCAAAAGACAGGACTCATCCGCGAAGGTGTAAAGCACAGTCGTCAATGCGGTGGGGTGGCAGGTCCCAAAATTACTGATTGAAATACAGGCCAGAGCAGCAAACAACCCAACAGGAGGGGGTCTGAGAGTCAATTTCTTAGTCTTTTAGTGGGTGACTATGGAATTCCTGCTGTTTCCTCTTCTTACCGTCCACACAATGAGCTTTTACGAAGAAGCTGCCACATGCCTACCTAGCATATAAAAGATGATGATTCGAGATTTAGATTTATGCTTATGTCTATATCAGAGCCTCCATTTCTTAAATCTAGATGATTCAGTCAACTCCCAGGGTTTTTTAGTAGCATGTAAACCCACATAAATTAAAAGGACCCTGGACTGAGAACTCCCTGGAGCCGCAGGTACGAGGAGAGGAAACAGTGAGTAGAGGCAGAGGGTAAAAAGCTGCTGTCAATTAGTTTATCTCACTTTGCAGATTAGCAGGGCAGGGCATTAGTTAAATTATGTGCTTTTAAAAAAGGTAAGTATGGTTGGTATACGCTATATTAGTTTCAGGTGTACAATTTGACATTTAAATACCTTAAAATGTGATCACCACATTAAGTCTAGTAACTATCTGTCACCTTGTAAATTTACCACAATATTACCGATTACAATCCTCTTCACCTTTTTGCACCCATCCTGCATTCCCTCTGGCAACCATCAGTTTGAGCTCTGTTAATATGAGTTTGTTTTATTTGTGTTTTTTGTTTTGTTATGTTTTATTGATCTATATGCCTGTTCTTATGCCAGTACCAGGCTGTTTTGATTACAATGTCTTTGTAGTGTAGTTTTATATCAGTATTGTGATACCTCCAGCTTTTTTCTTCTTTCTCAAGAATGCTGAGGCTATTTGGGGTCATTTTTGTTTCATATACACTTTTGGAATATTTGTTCTAGACATATGAAATATGGCATTAGTACTGTAATAGGACTTCTGTTAAATCTGTAGATTGCTTTGGGTAGTATGTACATTTTAATGATGTTGATTCTTCCAGTCCATGAACATGGCATACACTTCTACTTATTTGTGTCTTCAATTTCTTTCTTCAGTGTCCTATAGTTTTCCAAATACGAGTCTTTTACCTCCTTGATTAAATTTATTTCTTGGTACATTTTTGCTGTTGTTGCAATATTAAACAACAGCAAAAAAATGATATCTTTTTTGTGCTTGTTTTTAAGTATATTTTATTGATTATGCTATTACAGTTTTTCTAATTTCCCTCCTTTATCCCCCTTCCACTCTACACCCCCCAACCCTCCAGCATTCCCCCCCCCTTAGTTCATGTCCTTGGGTTGTACGTATAAGTTCTTTGAGTTCTCTGTTTCCTATACCAGTTTTTACCTCTCCCCATCTATTTAATGCCTACTGATTATGCTGTTTCTTCCCTGTACCTTTTCCCCGCTATTTTCCCTTCCCCCTCCCTCTCCCCCTCCCCACTGAAAACCCTCCATGTGGTATCCATCTCTCTGATTCTGTTCCTGTTTTAGCTGTTTGCTTAGTTTTTGTTTTCATTGTTTTTCTTTCTTTTATTTATTTAGGTTCATTTATTGATAGTTGTGAGTTTGTTGTCATTTTACTATTCATATTTTTTATCTTCCTTTTCTTAGATAAGTCCCTTTAACATTTCATATAATAAGGGCTTGGTGGTGATGAACTCCTTTAACTTGACTTTATCTGGGAAGCACTTTATCTGTCCTTCCATTCTAAATGCTGGATTTGCTGGATAGAGTAATCTTGGATGTAGTTCCTTGTCTTTCATGACCTCAATTACTTCTTTCCAGCCCTTTCTTACCTGTAAGATTTCTTTTTTTTAAAGATTTTTATTTATTTATCTTCAGAGGGGAAGGGAAGGAAAGAGGAAGAGAAATATCAATGTATTGTTCCCCTGCTGGGAACTGGCCTGCAACCCAGGCATGTGCCCTGACTGGGAATGGAACCATGATCCTTTGGTTCGCAGGCCCATGCTCAATTCACTGAGCTATGCCAGCCAGGGCTTGTAAGGTTTCTTTTGAGAAATCGGCTGATAGCTTTATGGGCATTCCTTCGTAGGTAACTCTTTCCTTTCCTTTTGCTGCTTTTAAGATAGTGTCTTTGTCTTTAATTTTGGGCAGCCTAATGATGATGTGCCTTGGTATATTCCTTTGGGTCCAACTTCTTTGGGACTCTTGAACTTCCTGGAAGTCTATTTCCTTCACCAGATTGGGGCAGATTTCCTTCATTATTTTTTCAAATAAGTTTTCAATTTCTTGCCGTTGTTTTCATTCTAGCACCCCTATAATTCAGACATTGGAACATTTCATGGTGTCAAAGAAGTTCAAAAGTCTCTCTTCATTTTTTAAAAAATTATTTTTGCTTTATTCTGTTTCAGTTGGATGTTTATTTCTTTCTTTTGTTCCAAATCATTGATTTGAGTCCTGATTTCCTTCCTGTCACTGTTGATTCCCTGAATATTTTGCTTTATTTCATTTTGGGTATCTTTTTTTTTTTTCATTTTTCAACCAAGCTCAATCAGTTCTGTGAGCATTTTGATTACCAGGGCTTTAAGTTCTCCATCACATAGGTTAGCTATTCCTCATCATTTAGCTCTCTTCCTGAGGTTTTTTTGTGTTCTTTCATTTGGGCCATATTTCTTTTTCTTGGTTAACCTGATAAATTTTAAGGGGGTGAGGCCTTAGGTGTTCACCTGGGCAACCCTCCTTGCTGTGGTGCAGCACTGTCTGTGGGAGAGGGGCCAGAGAGGGAACAATGCAGCTCACCTGCTTGTTTCTAGTGCACTTTCCAACAGGCTCTTGTGTGAGACTGGGAGTTTCTCCCACTTCAGTAACCACTCTACTCCACAGCCAACTCCGAGTCTCAGTTTCTCTTTAAGTCAGCCCTGCCTGTGCAGCCCCACCCACACAGTCCACTGCCTGGCAGGAGTTTCTCAGCCAGCCCTGCCCTTGCTCGTCCACCACCTTGCCAAGGTTTCTCTCTGTCTGTTGCCTTACTGGTCTGGTTGTTCTGTTTGACTGTTTCTTTAATTCTGAAGTTGTTGGATTTCCATAAAATTTGATTTTCTGGCACTTCTGGTTGTTTATAGATTTTAGATTGGTCGTTATCCTCCTTTTGGTTGTGCAAGAAAGTGAAGGGTTTCTACCTATGCCTCCATCTTCACCAGACCTCTAATATCTTATTTATACGTTCTCTTTCTGATAGTTCATTATTGGTGTATAAAAATGCCACCAATTTCTTTTTTATTATTTTATTATTTATCTTTAGAGGGGAAGGGAAGGAGAGAGAGAAACATCAATGTATGGTTGCCTTTCATGCGTCCCCTGCTGGGAACTGGCCTGCAGGGAACTGGTCTGCAACCCAGGCATGTGCCCTGACTGGGAATCGAACCGTGCTTGTCTGGTTCGCAGGCCCGCGCTCAATCCACTGAGCTACACCAGCCAGGGCCCAATTTCTTAATATTAATTTTATACCATGCTACTTTGTCATCTTCCTTTATTAGATCAAGTAGCATTTTCATGGTGTCTTTAGGGCTTTCTATGTACAATATCATGCCATCTGTATGATATTTTTTTACTTTGTTCTATCCAATTTGAATGCATTTAATTTCTTCTTATCTAATTGCCGTGACTATAATTTCCATTATTATGTTGAATAAAAGTGGTGAAAGCAGACATCCCTGTCTTGTTCCTGATATTAAGGGGAACATTTTAGTTTCTGCCCATTGAGTAAGATATTGGCAATAGGTTTCTTGTAT